TGCCTTTAAATACTGATGTCAGTGTATGTAGGAACATGTACACTCCCTGGCCAGACGGATACAAGGCAAGCGGATGGGAGGTAGGGCTGTCGCGGTTACCGGTTGACTGCGCTTCACAGACAACCACATCTACCGCGGTCAAGGTTTTTTTCATTTTGATGTTTCGTCGCCCACTTCATTAGGTACTAGCAAAACCAATGCATTCTAATACAACAGCTCTGCAATAAATCTCTCTATTCAACCCAAACGCCACCACCCACGGGGTACGCACATTGTACAACCATGTGTTCAGAGACGGCTGGTATAAATGGGCTAGCAGGGCTAAGCCTTGCTTATCTTTTACAATAAAGACGAGAAAATTATTAAATTAAAGAAAATATTAAAATATTAGTTATTGAACTTGAGAACTGATTGTTTTTGGTGGAACCTATAGCAGCAACAATACTAAAATAGTCACAAAAATGCAGGATTTATCGTGACAAGCCCCCTTGATTTACTGTCCAGTTGGGCTAACTGAATTCAGCCGAGGCCACTGACTTTTGGCCAATGAGAGTGTGTGGAAGTACAGTGAGGGTCTTCCCGCTGTTACTGTAGTGGGAGAGTGAGCGTTGAGTCTTGCGAATTGCGTTAGCATCATGCTGAACGAGGTGGATTATTTTAAATGCTGTCTATCGAGCGGGACCTCATCCAAAAATCATCGGACTTAAATGACTTGGTGATTAACCTGTTTGCATCTCAGAAAGGCCGTCATTGTGAGCTTCTCTTCAAATAAGGTAGGCCCAAGCCCTAACCTCTTATTAAAGGAGCACAAGGAGCACGCGCATGCGTGAGAGAGCGAGAGAGAGAGAGAGAGAACATTTTTGTAGTTAGCCTAATTTTCTAGTTTTGCATTGTTGCTGTAACCTGGTACTGTATCTCGGTGTGATGTTACTGTTACTGCAGCTGAACTATTGATCAGTATAGACCATAGCCCTAATGCGTTAGCCCTCCCTCCCAATTTCACCATGAGCCACTACTGCATGTGTTATTATTTTGGCCACCTCATTGTTTGAAATAAGGTGGCCGTTTATCTAACATTACTATCGGTTGAAATGATAAAGAAGGGGCAAATACATAATTATTATTACCTTTGAGCAGCTGGTACACGTCCTCACCCATGAATGGTAGCATTGGCTTGTCGGTCTGGTACTGGACGAGGAAAGGGGTGACCTGTCAACATCACTTTATTTATATAGCACCATTCATACAAGTAAATGCATCACATAGTGCTTAACATAAAAAAGATAGATAAAAACATAAATCATATAAACAGAAAGAACAGATTTAAAAGAAACAATCAGGGTAAAGTAATTAAATTAAAAGAGAGTGCAAAATAGAAAAAAAAATTCTTAAAACCGAATACAAATTTAGAACAGTAAAATATTAAAACGTGCAGACCTGCTTGAATATGCTCTGCAATACTGCTGTTTTCACTCAGAAAAGTGGATCTGCACAGGCCGTCTTGATCTCTTGGAAAGATTTGATCTTTGGCTGCGGTAAGTCTCCTCGTGAGACTGCATCAATGTAGTTCACCACGAGGCCACAGCATCAGCCCTCTCTCACAGACCTTCACATTTTCAACCCATCGGTGCTGGCAGAATTTCAGCATGGGTGTGTTGCAGCCTGCAAGTTTTAAAGGACTTTATTAATAATTTCAATAGCCTACATTACAACAACAATCAACACATTACATTCACAGTATAGATATTGTGCAAAACTGGCTTACAATTCAATAGCATATAATATAATATAAAATACATTACCTGTGAAGTTTACAAAGTTTTCTCAACACACTTGGCTGTTTTTGAAGAGCCAATACAGGCTACAGAGGGTATGGTCCACCTCCCATCCGCTTGCCTTGTATCCGTCTCGGAAGGCGTTATGGAGAGTATGCAGTCCGCATGACATGATGTTCAGTAGAGATTTGTTGATTTGGACCAGGTCAGACTGAAGTAAATCGAAAACCTCCCAATTTACGTTGGGTTCGTCCATTGACAGCTGCACGAGATTCTTCATTTCTGTTTCAGAGAGTATAGTTTGCATTCGATCTACAATGTCCTGGGCAGCTGCGTGTCCAAGAAACTCAGAGCCTACATAACGGGTTTTCACCTCCCCACCATCCCAAATCCGTACGTGCAGATCTCTCTGTTTGAGTTGCAGAGCTTTGTTCAAGCTTTCGTCAAACATCATTACATAACCAGCCTGCCTGGACACTTCTCTGACCAGGAGTGATTCGAAGTAGGGCGCAATGCCAATGTTGCGAGGTATGCAGACTTTGTTTCCCCTAAACTAAATTTAGATGCTATTTTGCTGTCGGGGAACATGGCTCAAAAAACTGAGCCTGTGTTGGCACATGAACTGTACGAATAATGCGAATCCATTAACTTTAGAGTCCATAACACTTCAGCCGATAGCACATCATTTGAGGCAGCATATTGGTTGAGGGTAGGTTGTGTTGATCAGTGTTCAGCCGTCTTTTGGTTGTCTAAATGTTTCTTTCCTTTGGCATGGTGAGCACCGCTTCCCCCATGTTGCTAACATCAAATGATTTTACACAGACCTTACATCCAGTATGACCAGGGTCTTTCTCTCTTGAGCCAATTCCATATTTTTTCCAGGAATTTCATGACCGTGGGGACCCTGAGAGTATGACGCATTGCATTCTGCACTGAGCTGCAGCCTTATCTACACATTGCTTCATGGCTGATGGAAGTTACGTATCTACACCTAACAGCTGACATCCATGTCTGTGAAAACATGGATGCTTCATGCCCATTTCCCCCCCAGCAGCACAGAAGATCTATACAATAAACACAGTTTCAAGATGAACACCCAATAAGAGTGTCACCAATTCAGTATGTGACCAAATGTCTCCCCCTCTGTTCCTGAGATATGACATTGTATAATGGCAAGAAAAGTGTTTTATGCAGAACGTTATGATGTCACAGTGAAGTTGACCTTTGACACATGAATTCTTAAGCTATGGCAAAAAACATGTTTTGTGAGGTCACAGTGACCTTGACCTTTGACCACCAAATTCTAATATGTTCAGTCTTTATTCCAAGTGGACATTTGTGCCAAATTTGAGGAAACTCCTTCAAGGCCTACTTGAGATACTTTGCTCACAAGAATGCACCACCCAAAAACAGATGACTATGTGCAGCCTCCTTCAAAGAAGAGCCGATGCGGCAGCAGGTCCGGTTTGCACCATACAGGAGCGAGCAGGAGCAGAGATAACTGCCTGTTGTTGCGAGCCTGTTATTCAGGGAGAGGAAGACCTCCTTCTCTGGTGGAAATGTGATGGAGCCAGGTGTTTTCCTCTGATGTCGAGGGCTGCCCGAAAGTACCTGTGCATTTGTGCCACGAGCTCTCCATCAGAGCGTGTGTTCAGCACCATGGCCAAAGTTCTCAATCCACTACGTGCCCTGCTCCAGCTGGAAAAAGTAAACATGCTGTTTTTTCTGGTGAAAAACCTTGAATAGTTTTGAAGCATAGGATGATGCTATAGTTTTCATTATACTTTGTTTTTATTTCATTTTCAATGAGGAGTAGCCTGTTCGAAAAGTTCGGACTTGGAGAGGGTGAACTTTTCAAACTAAGGGTAGGCTCTAAAAATAAACCAGCGAACAGTATTTCCCGTTGCTTCTCAGGATAGGATTATATATGTCCATTTTCGGGTATACCTTGTTATTTATTGTTCTGTTTTTCTAATTTGATGAGCCCTAGTACTGGATGCCATAGAGCTGTGCTTTTAATTTATTTGATTTATGTTGATAGGTTCTAAAAATAAACCATTGGACAGTACCCGTTGCGGTCTGAGGATACGCTGTATAGCACACATTATCATTACTGCCATTTGTTATTTATTGTTACTTTTTTGGAAGTGGACTGTAGCCCACAGACAATTTGTTGTTATTTCATTCTGTTTGGTTGACTGCTGCATTTGCAATTTTTAAAATATTTGTTAATAAAAGTTGTTAATGTTGTACATGTTTGGTTGTTATTTTGTCAGTATTCTTAGGCCTATGTAATGTTTGCTATTCTGTTTCTGAAAGGTATAGGCACAAGCCGACATTTTGGCGACTCCCTCTGAGCCGTTCAACGTGATTTTTAATTAGTCACGGTAATACCGTATTCCTTGGGAAAATGTGGGGAAGGTTTAACGGTAACAAAATTTGGATACCGCCCAACTCTAACGGACGGACAACCTAAAAACATAATGCCTTCGGCCACGGCTGTCACCGGTGCAGAGGCATAACAAACCCGCTAGATTCCTTCACACACACCCACAGGGCCACCTCCCTTAAAGGCGCAGGCAGTATCCAGACAGTAGCCAGTAACACACAGGTGTAGTTAGGCTGTGGGGGTGCTAACCAGAGGTGGAGTAAGTATTCAGCTTCATTACTTGAGCAACAATACCAAAAGCACACATTGACAATACTCCACTACATGAAAAACCTTTGCATCCTAAACCTTACTATCAATAAAGTATGAAGGTATCATAGCCAAATTTACATAAAGTAGTCATTTTGGAGTAAAATTTTCTGTCAGTGTTTTACTATTATATCTGATGATGGATGTGCTGTAGATGTTTAAGGTTGTGTTAAATTTAACTTCTTTATATACTGTTAGGTATCTACAGCAATGCTTCATATTCTATAAGATCATCATCATATGTAGCATCCCTGTCCTGTGAGAACCACATATATCTAAAAAGTCTGTCTTGGGCCACTATTTGAGAATTAGTTGTTTTGTCATTTTAGAAAAAAAATGCGTATATCACGAAATAGCCTAAAATATCAAGACATTATTTATAAACAATATCGCAGAGCTCTAAATCAAAGTGATCAACTCAATCACTTTCTTTGTTCCCGGCATCCTTCATGTCTCTGGTCTGCAGTATACACTCACCGCCTCAAACTGCAGAGCGTTTCTGTAGCTGCCAAACAGAGCCGCCTGACTCTTAAGGAAGGCTCGAGCCACACCGTCCCCAGTTGTTGTTGAAACCTTCCTCAAACGACTCTTCAAAGATGAGACCTGTGGGACATGGAGTTACAGTCATTAGAACACTATTTTAGCTGTTAACATCCATAATAAAAAAAACTTTACACATTGTGTACTGTCAGTAGTTCTTCACCACATCATTGGGCAGGCTTTGGAGGTCATCATAGGGTGTATCCAGGGTGTTTGTGTCCACGTTCAGGACCACCACATCATCCAGAGCCATCCCTCGAACTTTCTACAAGCAACAGAAACAGAATCAATAAAGTTGCTCGTCAGACGGGTGGATACTATGCAACTTAAAACCTGCTGGGGGGGGGGGGGCAGATTCGGGCAGATTACAGTGGCTATTTCACCCCTCGAGAGCAAACTGGGAGCTCTCAAGGAGTCTATTGCAGACCTTGAATGCTTGGCTTACAGCCATAGCAGCCAACTAGCCGACCTCAAAGTTCAAGTTTGCAAACTGACCACTTTGGCTGACTATCTGTCCAAGAAATATGATTATCTTGAGGCCCGCTGACGCTGGAATAATATACGGATTGTGGGCATACCAGAAAGGTCGGAGGGAGCCCAACCAACGGATTTTACAGCACAGCTTCTACAGATCCTGCTTAAGCTCGACAGCAAACCCACTTTGGATCAGGCGCATCTTGCCCTGCTAGCCATGCCCAGGGACAGAGACATTCTGCAACCGCTCATTGCCATGGTGAATTTGTTCCAGACTCAGAACCTAATACTTCTGTGGGCAAGGGAACTTTCTCCTCTGACCTACAGGGGCAGGGTGATCTCCATCTTCCCTGACTTTACTTCTGCCGTCATGAAGAAAGAGGCTGGTTTCATTAAGGTGAAGAAAGTGCTCCAATCATGTCCAAATGTGAAGCTCAGGCTTCTCTACCCCGCCGTGCTGTGCATTTCATTCCCCAGCGGACAGTCTCACAGGTTTGAGGACCCTGATTTGGCATTAGCCTTTGTGAATGAAAACATAAAAAAGGGGGTTACTGCAGCCTCATAGTTTAGGCTGAAAGGTAACCCATTTTGGCACTCTAACCTTTAATTAGTCCAGTAGCCAATATGTCTGCTTTGGGGTCTTTTGTATAGAATATCCCCGACTCTTATGTTCAAATAAACACAAGAAGTTTGTGCTCTAGAGAAAGGATCAGCACTCAGTGAATAACCTCCTAAGCCCTATGATAAGCTAATATAGCAAGGCTTAACTATACAGACCAGTGAGCAGTGATAACTAACATGTCTTTGGGGTCATCAGGTGGGAACCTCCTTTCACCAGTGTTTCGTCTAGTTGGTCCCACGACACCTCCAGGAAGCCAGACAGTGATCTCTGGCATCCCAGAGACACTCCCCTAATGCCAGGTCTCACTGCTCCCCGCACCAACCCAATAACCTCCTTTACCTTACTTACACATGGCTTTCTCAGCCCAAACAGCACTGCCACCTTCAACAAACCCAGGCTCCGTACATGCAAGCTCCAGGTAGAAACAGTGCTGATACTACCTTTCCTAGCACATTCACCATACTCTATTTCACACGCTACATAGCGTAACTCTAATATAAACTGAAGTTAAAGGAGACAGATTAACTCACAGGATCAGCAAACACACTCACCTTGCAGCATGGTCTCAAACAAAAGGGATTCAAATAGGCCACTCCCACACTTAAATAACTTTCCTCTTCCTGGATTTCCTCCTGAGAGGAAGTGGATCTCTCCACCTGATCTCAAGGAGTTATGTACTCTGCTTAGTAGTTCTAAGTGCTAAGTCCTAAGTGCTCTCCACACCAACCCAATAACCTCCTTTACCTTACTTACACATGGCTTTCTCAGCCCAAACAGCACTGCCACCTTCAACCAAACCCAAGCTCCGTACATGCGAGCTCCAGGTAGAAACAGGGCTGATACTACCTTTCCTAGCACATTCACCATACTCTATTTCACACTCTACATAGCTTAACTCTAATATAATCTTAAGTTAAAGGAGATAGATTAACTCACAGGATCAGCAAACACACTCACCTTGCAGCATGGTCTCAAACAAAAGGGATTCAAATAGGCCACTCCCACACTTAAATAAACATCCTCTTCCTGGATTTTCTCCTGAGAGGACTGATTGGTGGATCTCTCCACCTGATCTCAAGGAGTTATATACCCTGCTTAGTAGTTCCCCCTGCTGGCCCCCAACTGACATTATTTCTTCTCTTATAGATAAACTGGCTGGCTCTGGCTGCTTCATCTGACATTTCCTTCACTGTCTTCCTCAAACTCTGTCCCCGCACTCCGAGTTCCCCCAAGAGCGAGACAGCTGATCTTGCTATGAATCCCCTACACCCCACTCCCACTGGACAAATCCTAGTCTTCCATCCTCGCTGCTCAGCTTCTGCTCCTAAGTCTGCATATCTATGCTTTTTTCTTTCATAGGCTTCTTCCACTGAGTCTTCCCAAGGAACTGTCAGCTCAATGAAATAAACCATCCGTTGACTCACTGACCACAACACTATGTCAGGCCTCTGCTTGGTACAAACTATTTCCTGGGGAACAACAAGCTTTCCCCCTAAATCTACTTGCATTTCCCAATCACAAGCACCTTCTAGGCGGCCACACCCTTGCCTCCTTACTAACTTATCCCTTCTGTATTTTTCCCCCTCACGGACAAACTGAATTGCTAAACTCCTATTCTTAACACCTTCTGAATTCACCTGTCTTCTTTTCCCTTCGATGCCTGCAGCTAAACATTTCAACACCTGGTTATGTCGCCATGTATATCGGCCTTGTGACAAGCTAACTTTACAGCCTGACAAAATATGCTTTAAAGTTGCAGTACCTGAACACAATGGGCATGATGGGTCCTCATTTACCCACAGTTTTAGGTTCTGGGGGGTTGGTAACACATCGTATGTAGCCCCTACCAGGAATCTAATACTATTCTCCTCCATACTCCACAGGTTCCTCCAACTAATTTTCCTCTTCTCTACACTTTCCCAATTCAACCACTGTCCCTGTTTAGCCTGGGCCACTACCTTTGCACCCCTTAATATCCTGTCCTGTCTACATATCTGTTCCACGACCAGCTTTCTTTTATCTTTGAGACCTGCTTTATTCCATACCGGTTTGCCTGAGCCAAGCCCCAGGCCTCCCCGGCCAAACTGAACATTACCTACAATCTCTGCATGCCTAAGAGCTGCCTCTGCCTCCTGAACTGCCGATCTTGGGTTCCACTTCCTCCCCTTGGTTGGATTTGGAACCACACTCCTAACTACCACGTCCTTACTCCCAGATAACAAGAGCTCTGTCCTGACCTTGGTACATTTAAATTCCTCTGTTAAACTAGATACTGGCAGCTGAAGTATCCCTTTTCCATACAATGCAACACTACTTAGGCACCTAGGAGCGCCCAACCACTTCCTAATATAGGAGCTAACCGACCTTTCAATTCTCTCCACAACGGATATTGGAATTTCATAGACAATGGCCACATTAACCTAGGATATAGCCCAAATTGCAAACACCACAGCTTCAACTTTCCTGGAAGTTCTGATTTATCTGTTCTATCCAATCCTTCAGCCACATCTTTTTTAAATTTCACCACCTGTTCCTTATCATTCAACTCTACATTGTACCACCTACCTAAGCTCTTTACTGACTTTTCCCTAATTGTTGGGATTTCCTCATCATCTATGAAAAACTTCCTATCACTTAACTTCCCTCTACATATCGAGATGCTTCTAGACTTACTAGGCTTGATCTTCATGCTGGCCCACTTCAAGTTCTTATTTACCTTTTCTAGTAGCCTCTTTGTACATGGCATTGTTGTGGTCACCAGTGTCGTGTCATCCATGTCAGCCCTAACTGGTGGAAGATGCAACCCGTTCTGCCGTCTCTCCCCACCAACCACCCACTTAGAAGCCCTGATGATTACTTCCATCGCCATAGTAAATGCTAATGGAGAAATTGTACACCCTGCCATGATGCCTATTTCTAGCCTCTGCCAACCTGTTGTGAAACCTGCCGTACTTAGACACAACCTAATATCCTGAAAGTATGCTTTCACTAAGTTAACAACTACCTGTGGCACTCTGAAGTAGTCAAACGCACTCCAAATGAGGCTATGCAGTACTGATCCAAACGCATTTGCAAGATTTAAAAATATTACATGCAGGTCCCTTTTCTTAATCTTCGCTGCCTGAATCTGGTGCCAGATCATGCTAGTATGCTTTAGCCTTTGTGAATGAAAACATAAAAAAGGGGGTTACCGCAGCCTCATAGTTTAGGCTGAAAGGTAACCCATTTTGGCACTCTAACTTTTAATTAGTCCAGTGGCCAATATATCTGCTTTGGGGTCTTTTGTATATAATATCCCCGACTCCTATGTTAAGTTCAGTCCATAAGTGCCTATTTCTGACTTGCTAAGCCCATAGGAGTTTTATTTTTTAGGTTATGTTATTGTTGTATGCTCCCTGCTGACTGTTTGAACAGACTCTGAAACCGAGGGGCTGAACTGTTAACCCACCTGCCACATAGTTTCCTGTCCAGGTTTAGTGAGAAACGTTATTGTCTCGATAGCCCAGCTGTTTTTTTGTTCTGGTCTCTGGCATGCGTCTCTGTTCTTGTGACGCTTCTGCCACTGGGGTGGGGGGTGATTCTGTGGGGGCCCTTTTTGGGCTTGTTGGTTTACGTTTCCACTTTAGTCCTTGTATTTTGTCTCTCTCTTTTTTATTTTTTCTCCCTTTTTTCTCAGTCAGTTCTGGTGCACACAATCGTTATTTTTCTGCTTTTTACCATCTCACTTAATTATTAAGAATAGTCCAGGTATGAAGGGGGGAGATATACAACTTGTTAAGGTCTCAACAATCCCATAAAGTGCAGCAAAGTACTGCGATATCTTCGTCATACTGAGGCTCATGGTTTACTTGCAGGAGACTCATTTTAAAGCTGCTGACTGCTCTAGGTTAAAAAGTGGTTGGATAGACAAGCCTACCATTCAACTTTTAAATGTAAATCAAGGGATGCAACTATTCTTATTCACAAATCTGACCCTTTAATTTATTCCTATATTATTTCTGATCCAGACGGTAGGTTTCAGCCAATACTTACGCCCCTAACTGGGATGACGCCTTCTTTAGGGGACTGTTTTCAATGCTTCCAGATATGTCTACCCACCACTTGATTCTTGGGGGTGACTTTAATCGCTGGCTTGACCCAAAACTTGATTGCATCTCTCCCAAGGCCTG